GCGGGCGCCAGAGACGAACAATCACCGACTCGCACGGATTCGTTTTGGGGTTATCAGAGTGTCTTTGGAGGCAGACCGAGCTCTTCGCCGCCATCCTTTGGCGTGGTCTCGGAGGGTGGATCTTTCTCCTCGGGGGGCGTGGTCTGCTTGCCCTTATCCTCGGGCTTGTCCTCGGGTTTATCCTTTGGCCTGTCGTTCCCCTGACCTGACGAGGCATCCCCCGAAGAACCTGTCCCCTTGCCGCCTGTGCTCTTGGATGTGTCTGTGGGCTTTTCGACCCTGGGCGGCTTCGAGCTCGTGTCCTTTTTGGGCTTCCCTCGCTCCTCTTGCTCGGGCTTGCAGGCGTCCGCGCGCGCGAGCCAATGCTTGGCGCGCGCCGGGCTGATAGCGTCGATCTCGGGGATCGTCTTGCGCAGTGATAGACACTCCCTGGACTTCTCGTAGCCCGCCACCCGCTCCTCGAGCGTATCGAGCCTTGCCAGTGATTTCTCGAGCTCCACGCGCTTCTCGCGCGCGGGCGCGGGCAAGGCGCCCTCCTCCATCCAGAGCGCGGCGGTCGAGAGGTTCTTGCGCGTGCGCTCGATGTCTCCCGCTTGGAGGTGCTCCTCGGCGCTCGAGAGGAGCCCCAACACCTGGCTCGTCATCAGGATCTGATCGAGCTCGCCGGAGGAGACATCCTCGCCGGTGAGTTCGATGTCCTGGTTCCCCCCGACCTCGATTTCCGAATCGATCGAAGGTTGGCTCTCCAAAAGCTTTGGTCCAAACACGGCAGCGACCACGATCACACCCGCGATCACGAGAAAAGCGAGCAACCGACGCATCGGGCCGGGGCCCGTGTCGAAGTCCTCGAAGTCGTCATCCCAGTCCACTGGTGTGTCGACGCTCGCGGTGACGTTGCCACTGTCTGCGACGCGCTCGGCGCCAAGATCGATCTCTGCGCCGAGCGCGAGCGGGATAGGATCGCTGTCCTCGACCTCGATCTCCTGATCGAGCCCGACCTGAGAGTCGAACTTGAGCCCTTCGCCAAGGTTGACCTTTGGCTTGGCTGCGTCGACGACGACATCCGAATCAGGGGCGAGCTCGCCCTCTCCATGCCCGGGCTGCGAGGGCCGCGTCTCCTTGCCAGAGTCCACGCCGGCGGCCGAGTCGACACCGGGAGGTTTGCTTTTGATCCCTGGCGGTTTGCTCGTCGTGCGCGAGGTCCCGAGCTGATCGCGCACGTCGTCGAGCGCCTCGTAGAGATCCTCGGCGCTCGCGTAACGCTCGGTGGCCTCCTTGTTCAGACACTTCAGGATCACGGCCTCGAGCGCGGGCGGGACGTCGGCGTGGGGCGCGATCTCATTGGGCCTCGGGGGAGGATCATTGAGGTGCTTGTTGAGGACGGCGAACTTGTTCTTGCCGCTAAACGGCAACCGCCCCGTGCCCATGTAGTAGAGGATGATCCCGAGCGCGTACAAATCACTCTGAGGAAGCGCGCTGTCCCCCCTGGCCTGCTCCGGGCTCATGAACTCGGGCGTCCCGAAGATCGCCCCTGTCTCGGTCATCGGCCCGGTCTCGTCATCCGAGATCTTGGCGATGCCAAAATCGAGGACCTTGACCATGAAGCGATCCTTTGGACCGGGCATCAACATCAGGTTGTCAGGCTTCAGATCCCTGTGAATCACGCCCTCGTCGTGCGCCGCTGTGAGAACATCACAACACTGCTGCCCGATCGAGATGACCTGCTCCGGCGAGAAGAGCCCATGCTCCTTGATGGTCTTGGAGAGGCTCTTGCCGTCGACGAATTCGGTGATGATATAGAGCGCGCCGTCGTCGTGTTGTCCGTAATCGAGCAACGTGACGGCGTTGGGGTGCGTGACCTTGGCGTACGAGCGCGCCTCATTGCCAAAGCGCACGACGAGGCCCTCGTCAGCGGTGAATTTCTTGTTCAGAAACTTCACCGCGACCTTCTGCCCCACCGACTCGTTGAGCCCGAGGTACACCTCGCCCATGCCGCCGCGATCGATGAACTCCACGATCTTGAAGCGCCCCGAGACGACCTCTCCGATGTAGGAGTCGCGCATCTTGCTCAGGTCGATCTGCTTGTCGCCAAAAGCGACGAAGCTGCGCGGCGAGGAGGAATCCTCGCCATCCTCACTCGCGGAAGCATCACCCTGGCCAGTGCCAGAGGAGCTCGACGGCGATGAGGGCGCAGGCGCCGTGGCGCCATACATCTGGGTATCGCCGCGAGCGATATCGATCCCATCCTCCGAGGATGACTCGGTGGGGGGTGGCGTGACCACGCGGTTGTTGCTCTGCTCGCTCACGGGTTTATCTGACCTGGTGATTTATTGGGAGAGAGGCGTCCTTTGCCTGCTCCTGCATTATTGGGAGGTAGGGTCCCTTTTTCAACTTCCTTGTTCGATATCCTCTCGCACGGACATGCCCTGGTGAACAACCCCTGTTTTCCTTCTGGCCATTCCTCAGCCCTTGCTCGCCGCCGCGCTACCCTGTACGTATGTAAAGTTACTGCTTGCGCGTGCGGGGTTCGAGCGACACTTTTTTAACTCCCCCGAACGAACAAGCTCGCCTAAACCACACGCGCTCCCTCGAAGCAACCACGGGTTCAGACGGAGGGCGCTGTCGTTGCTCGGGAAAGAGGCATGCTCTCGAAGACCTTTATCGCGGATCTGGTCCTCGATACACATATTCAATCGACCTTCCTCGCCAGCGCCAAGGCCACGCGCCAGACCAAATATGGCGATCCCTACCTTTGCGTCACGCTCACCGATCGCACCGGCTCGGTCGAAGCGCGCGCCTGGGAGAACGCCGACATGCTCGCCGCGCGCTTTGACGCCGATGACTTCGTCCTCGTCTCGGCCGCGGTCACGAGCTACCAGGACACCCTCCAGCTCAAGCTCCAGGATATCGAGCGCGTCGATGAATCCCAGGTCGAGATCCGCGACTTCATGCCGACCTCTCGCTGGGAAGGCGAGGCGCTCTTCGCGCAGCTCAAGGATCTGGTGCTGACCGAGGTCGCCTCTGCGCCGATGCGCAACTTCTTCAAGACCCTGTTCGGGCAGGAAGAGCTGATGCGACGCTTCAAGCTCGCCCCTGCGGCAAAGGCAAACCACCATAACTACATCGGAGGTTTGCTCGAGCACGTGCTCTCGATGACGCGCCAGGCGGTCATGATCGCGGACCACTACGCGCGCTATTATCCAGGGATGCTCAACAAGGACCTGCTCATGGCAGGTTGCGTGATGCACGACATCGGCAAGTGCCGCGAGCTCAGCTTCACGCGCAGCTTCGCCTACACCACCCACGGACAACTCATCGGGCATATCCCGCACGGCGTCGAGATCGTCAATGATATCGTCGCCCAGATGCACCCCACGCCGCCCGAGGAGATGATCATCCAGATCAAGCACCTGATCCTTAGTCACCACGGGCGCCTCGAGTACGGCTCGCCAGTCACGCCCCGCACGCCCGAGGCGATGCTGCTCCACGAGATCGACATGATCGACTCGCGCATGGCCATGGTGCACAACATCCTCGCCAGCCACTCAGGCCCCGAGGAAGGACCCGATCGCTGGACCGATTACCACCGCGCGCTCCAAACCCGCGTCTACATCGGCGGCGAGCACGACGCCATCTGGCGCGCTCGGCCCGAGTTTCACGAGAAAGACCTCGTCGGCCCCGGGATGGGACACCCCGACCTCGAACACGAACAACATCCTCAGGCCGCACACGCGCAGCACTCCTCACAAGCACCCGCTCCAGCACGCGATGTCGACCTGTGGAAGCGCCCCGAGTTCGCCGCCAACCAGGATCGCGACCGCGCCTCTGGGGACTCCGAGCACAAACCGAGGCGCTCCAACAAGGGGAGCAACCTCGACCTCTTCAATAATAAGTAGAAGTCGGCACGCCGTGGGCGCGCCGAGCAAAAAGAAGCCGCCGAACATTTATGCTGGTCGGAATCAGACGACTCCAACCTCACAGCATAAATGTTCGGCGGCTTCTTTTTGCGTGCGGTCGGCGAGGATCAATCGTCGGAGAACTTCGCCTTGAGATCGCTCAGGCCGTCATCGACCTTCTTCTTGCGCTCCATCTTGGTGAAGATGTCCTCGAGTTCTCGCTTGCGAGGATCCATCAGATCATCATCACTGAGCTCGCGGATGGCGTCGATCTCGGCCTCCATGGTCGAGATCCGATGTGACATACGATCGAACTCGCGGAACGTCGGCTCGGTGTCGAAGGTGTCGAACCCCGGACCGCGCGCGCGGGTCGTGTCACCATCCTCGCCGCGATAGCCACGATCACTGCGGTAGCGATCCTCTCGATATCGATCCTCGCGGTAGGAATCACGCGAACGATCCCTGTCGCTGGAGCCGCCATCTCGGTCTCGCATACGACGACGCATCTCGGCGTCCCAGTCACGCTCGCTCGTCGCGCCGCCGCGGCTCGGGCCAGCGTCACGAGCATAGCCGCGATCGCGACGCTCGGCGTCCATGCGACCTCGCGTTCCCTCGAGCTTGACCTCGAGCGCCTCGAGCGAGCTCTCGATATCGCGCATGTAGGCGCGATGATCGTCGAGTTGTTCGTGGAGACGATCGACCTCGCGCTGGATCTTGTTCTTCTCCATGATCGCGCTCCTGGCCAGATCATCATCGCCGTTTTGCAGGGCCATGATGGCGCGATCTTCCCAGCGATCGACCTGCTGGCGCTCCTGGCGGATGTTCTCGACGAGCTTTCGCTCGTTGACGCGAAGCTCGGCCAGTTGGCGGCGAGCATCGCGCAGGGAGGACTCCATATCGCGCATGGTCGAGCGAAAGGCGGAGCGGCCCGAAGAGCTCGTGTCATTGATATTGGAGCGAATCAGGAGGTTGAGTCGATCGAGGATGCTCATGCTTGCCTCAAGATGTCGGGGCAGTAAAGAAGGTCACGAGAGACCTGTTGGCTCGTTCAAACAGCCCGGAGTATAGCGCGTTGTGTTCACCGGCGCGAGGAGGTCTTCGACCTCACTGCGCGCCCTCTCCGACCTGCATGTCTGCGCTCGCGCCAGGAGCGCCCTGGCCCATGGGGCCAGAACCCGCGCCGCCAAAGCCACCTTGCCCCTGGATGTAGGTCATCTCGGCAGGTGGCACGAGCATGGTCGCATCAGAGTAAATGCCATACGCAGGACCTCCCGCGCCGCCGCCACCCGTGCCGCCGAGGCCACCCTTTCCACCGTCGCCGCCGTCGCCGCCGAGGCCATCATCATCATCACGCTTACCGCCTTTTCCGCCAGGACCACCGTCACCACCAGGACCGCCGTTGCCTCCTCGACCACCATTGCCGCCCTGGCCGATCACAATGCGTGTGCTTCGGATCTGAACGCCCGCGCTCCCTTTCAAGAAGAGCGCGACAGAAGCTCCGCCCGGTTGACCACCGGCGCCGCCTCCGCCGCCACAGCCACCCGCTCCGCCTCCGCCACCAGCGCCGCCATAAGAGTCACAGAAACCACCTGTTCCACCACCGCCGCCACCGCCTCCGCCACCACCGGCGCCATAGCTCCCCACGCCACCGACACTGCCGGACTGAGCGACCCAGTTGAAGTTGTCGAAGTAACCTCCGGGACCGGCGCCTACACCTGGCTCGCCAGCCTCACCATCAGCACCATCACTTCCAGCTGTCCCGCTGTTCTTCTTCGAACCACCGGAACCTGCGCTTCCTCCAGACGCGCCATCAGCAGAGCTCTCGCCGCCAGTGCCATTGTCACCGCCGTTATCACCCTTACCAGGGCGCCCGCCATCGCCCCCATTGCCGCCGCCACAACTATTCTGCCCTCCAGATCCTGCTGAGGGTCTGTCGTTCCTCGAACACACACCTCCACCATCTTCCTTTCCGTCACCACCTTTGCCACCTCGGGGGCCGTTATCACCCGGCTCGCCGGGAGCACCATCGAGGCCGTTGCCCGCCGTACCACCGAGGATAAACATGCGCTCGAGGATCACCGCGGGGCTGTCGAGCAAGGCGACTGTATAAACGCTCTCTCCGGGAGGGATCTGTTCTTCAGGGCGAACCTCGAGGTTCATCAGGTATGTGGGAGTGATAATACCCGTGCCACGGATCGTGGGCGTGCCTTTGAGGACGGAGTTTCCGCCGGTGAGCGTCGAGAACCCATCGCCATCACGCGCCCAGCCGAGCTCGTAACCTCCAGCGATGCTCACGCCATCGACCAGCGTCAACGGCCCATCGTAGAGCCCCTCTTGCACCAGCACCCACGTCTTTGTCGGGTCCATCGATGCCTGATCGAGCGCGGCCTGGATGGTGCGCTTTGGCTCGAAGCGAGAACCATCGAACGAGTCATCCCCGTAAGATGCCACGAAGACGCTCTGCGCGATGTCGCCATCGATCCCATCACAGTTGGTGTCGAACCCATATCGATCAGGCAGATCGATGGCGTTCATGTCGCACTCGGGCTCGTCCGGGACATCCGGGATCATGAAGGGCGCCATATCGATCATCGAGCCGCCGGAATCTCCCCCCATATCACCCGTGATAATCACCGGCGGAGGAAGCTCGGGCTTTGGCTCTTCACCACAGCCCAGCGCGAGGCTCGTGGCCACCAGTGGGAAAATCAACGTTCTCTTCATCGCTCTATCACTCGCTTCACGACAAGGTAACAAACTCGCACGAGGATCACTTCGCTTTAGAGAGGCCGGCTCTTGCCCGGCAAGCTGCATGCTCTTTGCTTCCCACTAGCCTAGAGAGAAGACGGGCGAGGGTCAACCAATCGCGTGTCCCTGGCATGGTTCTGGCAATATCATTCTCACGACAGCGCCTGGAGCGCTGATACGAAACGGCGCCGAGCCCCATATTAAAAGGCTCGACGTCATATATGCCCGAAACACAATGCGATGAAATTTCGAGGAGCATGACCATGACCACTCAAAAATCTGTCACTACCCTCTCCCGACATACCACCTGGACAGGCGCCGCGCTCGCGCTCTCGCTGTTTGCCTTCGGCTGCCAACCCAAAGAGACCGAGCCAAAGACCGAAGGGCCACCCGTCCAGACAAACGCATACCGGCTCGCCCCCGCCAGCAACTGCGCCGCGCTCTCCGATCACGTCATCGACGTGACCACCGAGCAAATCCTGCGCGATCGATACAACAACTATTGGTTCGGCGCCGAGGATGCCAGCGCTGGCGGAAACAACGCGCAGGCGCCGACCGCCGACAATGGCAACAACGGCGGCGAAGAGCGCTCTCCTGACGATTACACCGGCACCAACAACCAGGAAGAAGGAGTCGACGAGGCGGACTTCCTCAAGACCGATGGCGAGTATATTTACACCATCGCAGGCTCCGATGTCGTGATCCTCGACAGCTGGCCCGCCGAACAAACCCACGAGGTCGCGCGCTTCACGCTCTCCGAAAACCAGGATGGCTGGCCGAGCGACATGTTCCTCGATGGAGACAAGCTCGCCGTGCTCTCTCACATTTATGACGACGGCAAAAAATACGACGAAGAAGGCAACCGGCTCGAAGAACACGACACCTTCTATGGCACCCGCATCACCGTCATGGACATCACCGATCGCACCGCCCCGAGGCTCGACCGTCAAATCGACATCGAGGGCTGGTACACGAACGCGCGCATGATCGGGAGCGACGTCTACATCGTCTCGAACTCCGGGCTCCAGAGCTCCTACAATTACTGGAGGCTGATTCGTGACAACGAGAGCCTCCTCCCGGAAGCGGAGTACGACGCTGACGAGCAACGCCTCGAACAACTTCGCGCTCAGGCACGCCCCATCATCAAGTCACTCCTCCATGGCGAAATCGATGAGGACAACGTCGTCGATATGCTCCCCCGCAAGCGCATGTACGATTCGAGCGGGATGCAAATCCAGGAAGGACCACTCTACAACTGCACAGACATCTTCCTCCCATCACAGCTCGCGCAGACGGGCGTGCTCAACATCACGCACCTCGATCTCGGCGAGAAGTCCTCGATCACCTCGACCGGGCTGCTGGCCAACGGCTGGCAGGTCTACGCATCCACCAAGAGCCTCTATATCGCCATGACGAGCGGTTGGTGGTGGTGGGGTTGGGGAACTCAGGACCTCACCACGCACATCCACAAGTTTGACCTCGATACGTCTGATGACCGCCCCGCCTACACAGCGAGCGGCAAGGTCGACGGTTGGTTGCTGAACCAATTCTCGATGAGCGAGCATAACGGCTACTTCCGCGTGGCCACGACGGACAATCAGTGGGTCTGGGATGAAGCCACGCAAACTGGCGAGAACACTGGCGGAAACCACGTCACCATCCTCGAGGAAAAACAAGGCGAACTGAAAGAGACTGGATCGATCCGCGATCTCGCGCCTGGCGAGCAGATCTACTCGGCGCGCTTCATGGGCGATAAGGGGTACGTGGTGACCTTCGAGCAGGTCGACCCTCTGTTCACCTTCGACCTGAGCGATCCTCACAACCCCAAGCTCGAGGGCGAGCTTAAAATCAACGGCTTCTCGAGCTACATCCACCCGCTCGGGCAGAATCACTTGCTCACGATCGGGCAGGATGGCGACGCGGATGGTCGCATCACCGGCGTGCATCTCCAGATCTTCGATGTCACCGACATGAAGAACCCCACGCGCACCGCGCAACACAAGATCTCGACGGGTTCCTGGTCCTCCTGGAGCGAGGCGATGTGGGACCACCACGCCTTCACCTACCACCCCGTCAAAAAGATCCTCGCCGTCCCCATGAACATCCACGAATGGGACGAGAACGGTGGCGAGAACTTCTCCGGGTTGATCCTCTACAAGATCGACGAGACCGCAGGCATCAGCGAAATCGGCCGCGTGAATCACTCTCGAATGGCCGCCGACTACTGGTGTGAGTACTACGACAACTCATCTTGGGCCTGCGAGGAAGGCGACACGCGATATCGTTGGTGGACGAGCATCCGTCGCTCGGTGTTCATCGAGGACTACGTCTACTCGTTTGGCGATGTCGGCCTCAAGGTCAACGACCTGCTCGCCCCACAAAACGAGCACGTCTCGCTCGTGTTGAATCACTTCGACCGCTACCGCTGAGCGGCGCTGGTCTGTAACAAGGCAAGAGGCAAGAGTAAGGGCGCGAAACCTTCAAAGGTTTCGCGCCCTTACTCTTGCCACGAAGTCACACTTCAAAAGTATCACTTGAGGTATTTTCTGATGGCGGCCTTGTGCTCCTTGAACGTCGCGGTGAAGTGATGCGCGCCGGAGCCATCGCGTTTGGCGACAAAGAAGAGGTAGCGTTTGGCGTCCTTGCCAGTGGCTGGAACCAGTGATGCCTCGAGCGCCTCCTTGCCAGGGTTCGAGATAGGACCTGGAGGTAACCCGTCGATGATGTAGGTCGAGTAACGATTGAGCGGGTTCTTGCAGTACTTTGGCGCGGGGATCTTGTCGTAGGTCTCATCGCCGTAGACACACGTCGGATCGGTCTGGAGGCGCATGTCCCTCTCCAACCTGTTGAGGAAGACTCTGGCAACCAGACCGAGCTCTGGCGCGTAGTTGGTCTCGCGCTCGACGATGCTCGCGAGGATCACGATGTCGTGACGTGTGAGCGCGTGCTCGTTCTCCATTTTTTCGAGCGCGTCCGGGTGCTCGGCGACGATCTCATCCCAGTTCTTGTCCCACTGCGCGTGCAGCGTCTGGACGATCTGGCGCGGCGTGGCGCCCTTGCCGATCCGATAAGAGTCAGGGAAGAGGTATCCCTCGAAAGACTCGCCGGGGATATCGTGCGCCTCGAGCAGCTCCTTGTCGCGCGCGGCGGCGAGGAAGGCGTCTCTACCGCACAAGCCGAGTGATTCGACGCGGTCGGCGATATGGAAGATGTTGAAGCCTTCGGGGATGGTCAGTAGCACATCCTCGGTGGCCCCCCCTTCGCGCAAGGTCTCGTCGAGCTGCTCGAGTGAGAGCGGCCCCTCGAGCATGTAATTCCCCGCCTTGACGTGTTTTGGCAGATCGCGACGTCTGGCCCAGACGTCGAAATAACGAGGTCTGGCGATCATGCCCTGCTCTTTCATCAGCTTCACGACACCGGGCCATGCCGTATCGTGTGGGATGATAAGCGTGATGCGTTCGCCATCCTTTAAAACGGGGGCCTCGCTCCACGAGTTGTAGTGCGCCCAGAAGAGCACACACGTCGCGACCAGAATCACCGCGGCGCCTGCGGAGATGGCGCCCGCGAGACGCATCGGAGAGGAACCTTCCTGGTCTCTTCGCTGGTTTGACGGCTTCTTCTTTTGATTTGCTTTGACCGACACCGACTCCACGCCTCCTTGCGTGAGACAGAGCAACGCAGTTAGATGGATTTCAAATATCCTTCCAGGATCTGCGCAGCGGCGATTTGATCGACGACCTTTTTGCGCCTGCCGCGCGAAACGTCTGCGCCAACGAGCATCGCCTCGGCAGACGTCGTGGTCAAGCGCTCGTCCCACTCGATGACCTGGACTTGCAGCTCGCGCTTGCCGGTCTCTTCGAGCAAGGCATCGAGGAACTTCTGCACGCGGCGCACCGCCCTCCCCTCGCTCCCATCCATATCGAGAGGCCAGCCGACGACGACCGTATCCACGCCGCGCTCCTCGATGAGCGTGGCGATCTCCTCGCAAGCTGTGCGCAAAGGACGCGCCTCGACGGTGCGGTGAGGCATCGCATAGTCGGCGCCTTCGGTGTGTGTGGCCACGCCAATTCGCACCGTGCCCACATCAAGGCCGATGCACACAGGTCGAGAAGTCTGATCTTCGCTCATCGCTTCCTCGCTTCGTATCCGCCACAGGGGCCGTAGACGCCCGCGGCGCCAGAGCGTATCTTCCGTTTCGAACGCAACGACCTCTCCTCCTTTCAGGGTGATGGAGCGCGCACTCATGCAACTGTTTCGCTGGCTCTCTGAATTCATTCTCAAGCACCGCCTCCCGATCCTGATCGCGATCACGATCCTGGCGCTGGGGTGCGTGGCGACCATACCTCTTCTCGAGTTTAACTTCACCCCGCAACAGCTCTTCGAGTCGACCTCGAATCATGACAAGTTGCGCGAGAGGTTCGCCGAGAAGTTTGGCCGCGAGGATAACCTCGCCATGATCGTCGTCGAAGGGGACAACGTCCTCGACGCCAAGACGCTCTCATACATCCATCGCGCGACGCTCGAGACGAGCGAGCTCGAGGAGATCAAGCGCTCGCTCTCGATCACGACCATCGAGATCCCGCGCAGGGAAGATGGCAGCCTGACCACAACGCCTGTGCTCGAAGCATGGCAGGAAGCCAACGGCAAGGACACGGAAGCGTCTGAGGTCGAGATCCCGCAGGAGGTCGCCGAGCAAATCGCCAACCTGACCGAGAGCGAGCCGCTCATTCGCCAGCAGCTCGTGAGCGAGGACAAGAAGACGAGCGCGATCCTGTTCTGGCTACAAGATGACTTGCAGGACGCTGGCGACCTCGAAGAAGTCACCGACAAGATCGAGGCGGTCCTCG